CTATTCTGCTTTTAATTCTGATTTCTGGAAGACCCAATAAGGAGAAAAAGTCACAAAGCATATTGTAATAATTATTTCTTAGTGTTAAACAAAGTTATAATTATAAGAAATTTAGTTTGTTTTCTAACTGATACTTGTAAAATACTGACTCGTCATCAGAAGTTACACTTGCACTTAGATTTTTGTTAATGAAGGTATCAAGCTTGAAAGCATCCTGACAATCCTCACATATTTACATATATTTACAATATGGGTTGTGTAGAGGCCTGCTCAGACTCGTGGGGCATACATGACTGTGTCCAGATTTCTGTTGTCAGTGTTAACCCGGTTTCATGTACTAATTAAACAGCTATTGACAGTTATTTTTCACTTTATAGCTGGTGTATAAAATGTTTTTGTTTGCAGATAGATCATATTTTTCGTTTGCATATTATTCTTTCTTGTCTCAAGCGTCAGTGTGTATTTACCTGTTCTTTGGTTTGGGAGTTTAGGTATGCCAGTGGCCATCCCCAGTCTGGGTCCTTCCCTTGGTTCTCTCCCTTCAGCCTTGTCTCTGATGCTCCCCATGGGTCCACTGAGTGATAGAGGGGTGATGTGCGGCCTGCCTGAAAGGAATTACTCCTTGCCCCCTCCACCATACCCTCACCTGGAAAGCAGCTACTTCCGACACATACTGCCAGGTGGGTTAAGGTTTCTCAGAACACTCATCTAGAGGCGAGGGCAATGTTTAATTTAAGTTGTATATCCCACACGGTCTCTGTGTTGGGTCTACAGGTATTCTGTCCTACCTGGCAGACCGTCCTCCACCTCAGTATATTCATCCCAGCAGCCTTAACATGGATGGGACCCTGTCTGTGCCCAGTAACAATTCCTCAGGTCTGGATCCCTATAGTGGCCCCGGAGGCCCACTGGAGCAGGGCCTGGTGCCCATGGACTCCAGACAAGTTAGTGGTCAGGCAGACCTTCACCAGACAGGTGCTCATGAGCTGGACTCTACAGGGCTTGCCATGGAGTCACGTGTCAGCAGTCCCATGTCTCCTGAGCGGATGGGGGAGGAATTGGCCTCAATGGATGGAGTCGGAGTAGTGCCGGTGCCTGACACCCAGCAGCAGCTCGGAGGGGGAAGGCAGCCCCAGCCTCACGAGGGCCTGACAGGGGTGGACTCTTCTGGTGGAGTGATGCCCCTGCATGGACCCCCTGTGCTTGAATTGCCAGTGGTAATGGAACAGGATCACATGGGGGGGCGAGTGGGCAACTCGGGGGGAGGGGGAGCAGGAGGACTTGGGGAGCAACTCCACACGAACGGGGAGCTGAACTCAGGCGTAGTAAGCGTGGTACTCACCGGCTCCATGGCCAACCAGAACCAGCTGGAGCCTGTGTCTCTGCATGGACACTCTGGGATGGGGCTGGAGGCTGTTAACGTGTCCCCCATCACTGCTGAGGTTTCTCTGGGGCCGGAAAACAACCTGGTGCTGGTGAACTCGACGCTGCAGCTCGAGGATTCCTCTTCCAACAAGGAGAACATGGTCAATGCTTACAGCATCTGTGAGTTTTTAACTTCAAGTCTCCTATCCAAGTAAAATCGATAGCTTATGGAGAAATCTTTAAAGCTAATGTGCATTTTTGTTTTAGGGTGCACACTGTGTGAGTGCTCATATACCTCAGACTGTCCTGAGCATGGCCCAGTCACTTTCATCCCAGATGCTCCCATCCAAAGCCGGGCTCGCCTCTCTCTCCCGCGTCCGCTGTGCCTGCGTATCTCTGTTGCCGACGAACCGCTCGGTAAGAAAAGAAACTTGATTATTAATGAGGACAGACCTCAAATGTTACTCTAAGCTCATGTTTAAATGTGCATGTGGTTGCACTCATAGGAGTTTTTGCACGGGACATCATTCCACCAAGGACCTGTTTTGGACCAATGGTTGGCCAGCATTGTAGCAACGTGGACCTCTCTGATTGGCCGGAAAAGGACACACCTCAAATATGGAAGGTTAATCTTGTGGCCCTTTGTTAGGAGTGCAGTTGCCACATTCAATACAAAACCACGATGAAAGCATGGGAACGCATGATAAACAAGTTTTTCTGTCACAGATGTACCACAACAACGTGCTAGAGTTCTGCATCGTGACAACAGATGAGAACGAATGCAATTGGATGATGTTCGTCCGCAAAGCTCGGTGAATGCTCGTGTTTTTATATGCCATTGTTGCCTACATTACCCACAATGCAAATTAAAATTAACACGTTTTTGTTTGTGTGTCCAGGACACATGAAGAGCAGAATCTGGTGGCGTACCCTGCTAACGGTAAACTCTTCTTCTGCACAACCACTGAGATCCACCCGGACCAGGAGCTGCTCTTCTATTACAGCAGAGACTACTGCAGGCTGATGGGTGAGCGGACATGACTAAATATGTCTAACCCTCTGTATAAAGTTAAGGAACCCTCATTTAGTACGAGTGTGAGTAAACAGCTGGACCCATTGTCTGACCCTACATTGGTGCAGTGGGTCCTAGGTACCTCCTGGTACACAATAATCATATGGTGAGAGTATGCAGGCAGTTCCTGGAGGATGAAGGAATAGATGCCATTGACTGGCCCACACTCTCAACTCTCTAACTTCCTTTTCTTTGGTTCTCAGGTGTTACACAGGTACCCGAGGGTCAGATCTGCCAGTGTGGCAAAGAGTGCGCCTCCTTCTCTGACCTTAAGTCTCATCTTGGCAGCCATAACAGTAACCACAGCCATACCCAACCTCCACACAGCCACAGCCCATCACAGCAGGACCACAATCAGCAACAGCAACCACCAACTCAGCAGCAACAGCAACAGGAGCAGCAGCCCCAGCAACACTCTCACCAGGAAGAGAAGCTGACAAATGAAACCTCTAGCTCCTCCTCTTCCCCGTGGCCCTGTCACAACCCTGCTGCAGGGCAGACAAACACTGACACCGGCGCCAGCAGCGGGGGCGGCAGTGATAGAAACTCTGATAACATTACCTCCAGGGCAAAAGGTCAGGGCCACGTGCGGGAGAAGAAATTCAAATGCAGCATGTGTACTCGGGCGTTCATTACATCCACTAAACTCAAGGTGCACTTCATGGGCCATGTGGGGATGAAACCTCACAAGTGCGAGTACTGTAGCAAAGCCTTCAGCGACCCCAGCAACCTCAGGATGCACCTGAAAATTCACACAGGTAGGTACAGCGTAAATAGTGTAACTTCAGATGCTCGGCACACAGACTGATTAACACATGCACACATGTTTTCGCACTGACAGGTCAGAAGAACTACAGGTGCACAGTCTGCGAGAAGTCGTTCACCCAGAAGTCCCACGTGGCGTCGCACATGCTCATCCACACCGGGGCGGAGAAGCTCAAGTGTGACCTCTGCGATCGAGCGTTCATCAGGAAGCACGACCTGAAGCAGCACATGTTCTCTCACACACAGTGCGTCACTTCATTGCTTTAAAAGTCAACAGATGGATTGTACTCTCAGAATCCAAAGTGTCTAATAGTTGTTTTTAAATCTCCTTCATTTCTCAATGACAGCGAGCGGCGGATTCAGTGCCCAAAGTGCAACAAACACTTCCTCAAGACCAACCACCTGAAGAAGCACATGAACTCTCACGAGGGCCGCCGAGACTTTGTGTGCGAGAAGTGCAACAAAGCCTTCCTCACCAAATACCACCTCACGCGCCACCTCAAGATCTGCAAAGGGCCCAAGACAGAAAGGGGGTCCCGCAAGGAGCAGGACGCTGACGACGAAGACGAGGAGGAGGAGGAGGACGAGGACGACAGCAGAAGAGGAAGAGAGAGACTGGTTGACTCGGCCAATAGTGAAGACTGCGGTTTAGATGTCGGTGGATATAACTCCGAAAAGTCCCTGTCACCCCCTCACTGACAACACTGTGCCTGTTGAGATGTTTTATTTATTTAAGTTCATAAAACTATCGATGTTTACCTTTCGTTTTTGCCAAATATAACTTTCTGAATATATAATAACATATTTGGCCATCAGTACAATTGAACTGCCACATTTTTGTCTAGTTTCTCACAAGAGCTGCTAAAATAATCTGAGATCTGACTGTATTTTCTTTCCTCTCATGACTCAGGCCTGTGTAATTACTGGTTTTCGGGTTTCATATAAGCTATCATTTATTCATTATTTTTCTCTTAATCTTAATTCTTCAGCTCACTCAGTAATGTGGCTGATAAGCCTTTTTTTTGCTACAGAGTAATATGGTAGGCATTTATGGTGCATTATCCCACACTGAGTGTTAAAGTAATGTTGCAGCTTTATACTGTGTAATGCATATTTTAATAAACGAACAACTGTGCTATAGAGCAGACTGATATTTTTTATGTGTCATCTCATTAAGTTGCAAAGAAAATTTGGCAACTTTTTTTCAAAATCCTGCAAATCTGTTAACTCAAGGACATCATCTAGGACTTTCAAATTAACACCATTCGCGCTTTACCGAGAGAGTAAAGGGTAGCACTGCTGATGTCAGCATTTTTTAGTACTGTTAACAAATTGTAGAGCATGTTTTTGTGACGTATGAAGTCGAGCATGCCAGCCAGGAACTAATGGCTTAATTCCACTTGAGTGAAACTAGGAATAAAAATAATGAGAACCATCAGTGCTGCCCCTCAGCCTCCTGGTAAATGCACCAGGAAATGATAAATACATTTGAAAGTCTTCTTGAGGATTTCCCCCTTGAGTTATCAGATTTGCAAGATTTTCAGAAAAACTTTACCTTAAGGTCCAGGTCAACAAGATTTTAACACCTCTGAGATTTTTTAGGTGATGCACCTATGGTATAGATTTGAAAATCCCTAATTGCATTGTTCTCAAGTTACCTTGTTCATGAAGTTGGCTGTCCATGCTACCCGTCTGCCCGCCTGCCAACAATTCCTCATCAGCCTTTTATAGCGGAGTCTTGTGACTAGGAAAATCGTAGTGTTTGCTTAGTGATTGCACTTTTTCTTTTAATTCTGTAACCGACCACTTTAGATTGTAAGGCAATTGTACAGGTTGCCTGGTGGGACGCAACATGTCTCCAAACTGACTGCAATCACTCGCCAGATAATTTATAAATGCAAACTGATTTCGCACACACTGCAATCACTCTGAGCCAGCTACAGCGAATGAGCCCAACGGAGTGCCTATTTCATTCTGAAGTTAAGCAACCATGTCACTATTAGTAAAGGAATTTCAACATTCATACTCCAATTGGAGAGAAAGTTGGGGTTAGTATCTTGCCCAAGTAAATTTGGCATGCAGACTGGAGCAGCCAGGGATTGAACCATCAACCTTCTAATTTGTAGATGTACTTCCTGAGCTACAGCCATCCCTACTTATTGTAAATTCCAGTAAATGCAGACAGTAATAGATTCTTTTTTAAAATTACAGCTAATAACAATATTTCCATAAAAAGAATGGATTTATTTGCCAGTTTGATTTCATTGAATGCAAGCTGATTGAAACCAGACTTACTGCTCTGAAGAGAACTCACTGTGACCTGGTTCCCATCTTTGAAGTAACCACTTCAAAATACCACCTTAAACCATTTGTCCCCTCAGTGACTTCTCACAGTCCAGGCCCTGAGATGGCAAAGCAGCCCAAAACCATGATGCTCCCTCCACCGTGCTCTACAGTGGGAATGAGGCTTTGCAGCTGATGTCCCGTACCGTGTCCCCTCGAAACAGTGTTGTATATTTTTGTTTCTCCGTTTTTTAAAATTTTGTTTTGTTTTGAACAACTCTTCCAGGATTGTTTCTTGAGCTCTTCTTGTAATCTTTACAGGACACCCTCTAAAGACAGTAGCAGCAACAGTCATTTAGCTATCAGCAGTTTTTCTTAATGTGAATTGATGATCATTCTTTTGTTCACTTTTCCACCAATGTGAATCTCTGTACTTCTCATTAAGTGATCAACTACTGGTTGTAACAGATGGCTGCCCCTCCCTGAGCCTGGTTCAGTTTAAGGTTTCATCCTGTTAAAAGTAAATTTGTCTTCCCACTGTTGCCAACTGCTAACTTGTTGGGGGTTCGTGTGATTGTTGGGATTGTCTTGCTAATAATATAAATATAAATATAAAACACCTTGAGGCAACTAGTTTTGTGACTTAGTGCTATATAAATTACATTGAAATGAACGTAATTAAAACTGAGACATGGGCTAGTCTCTCAAATTTGCAAGCCTTTATTATAATGAGATTACTTTGCTTCAAGTGTCTTTTGGAGAAGTACTAAACACTATTGCTCACTTATTGCACTTACTCAGTGCATTCAGTAAAGGAAAAAAAAAATAATTAATTTGCTCATGTGGTATCAGTTTAGTCATGTTGTGTCCATCCATTTCAGAGAGTATCTCCAAACATGGAGACATTTCATTTCATAAAGAATCAATGCAGTGATCCAGGTGTATCTATTATTCAACTGTACATCTACATACAACTGAATATATTCACAGGGTCTCTTACAGTTAGAATATGATTTATTCACGTGCCCAGCAAGCACATTTACAGAAACTAGAAGGTGTTACGGTTCAAATGAAGGCATCTTTTTCTGGACTTGCAGTTGTTATTTAATATACTTTTACATTTTAATTAGACAAATAGTGCAGGAACAAATTTGTGGGAATACTTGGATGTTGACATAACCCTAAATGTATCATCAGCAGCAGAGAGCATAAAGTGGTCAAAGTTAAATGATAGTCATGAGGAATTAACAAATGCAGCACATTCAACACGTCAGTCAAGTTATTCAAAAACCTTCCAGTCAGGCTGGTTCACTGCATACAAAGCAAAGAAAAAAATAATGTATCATTTACTATCATTTATTAATTTAAATACATATTTACATGCAAATAATTGTATGATATCCAGTTAAATGTAAGTTTGGGGTGTAATACACGTGTAAGCTTATAGTCAGCAGTTCTTCAGTGCATGGAGTTGATTGAGGAGAGCGTGTTTTTCCTGTTCTAACAAGGATATTTGACAGTTCTTGTTCTTCACCTCCTGTTAAAACATGAAAAATGACAATGTTACACAAAAATCATAAGAACGCTGATGCAAAACTTATTCACGTAACTTTATTAAAAGCTCTTAAAGAAGATGTTTCAATATTTAATTAAAATGTATTTCTTCTACCTCCTTGAGGGTTGTTTCTTTACCTGAGTCAGTACTGAGTTGTGCCACCGGAGGTCACTGTCTGCCACTGCTTCAAGCAGAGAGGGGTTGCTGCTGGTCATGGCCTTGGGCTCACTCATCACAGAGCCCAGAGAACCGTTCACCCGCTGGATACGAGACCTGAGGAGGCAGGAACGAGCCTGAGGACAGGCACACAGAACTTTTAGTGGGCTTAGAAACACCCGAATGGATGCCAAGCACAAGTCTCATCTTTATGATTGGTGAGGAATGCTCTCACTAACAGATGAAAATGAAATAGATGCTTAAAATGATGTAATTACAGGAAATGTTTGTCGTTTAGGAATGAGGCTGAAGTCTTGCACAATTTTTCAGATATTGACCACTGAACTTGGACGCTGTGCATGCTAAAATTGATGGTAAGGCCCGATGCAACTTCCATCCTTCAGCCTCGACAATAAGGCAGCCAGTTGTGATTGTGTTACAATGACAAGCCTTTTCAAAGTCAGAAGGAAGTTAAGACTGTAATCATTCATCGTTATTAAACATGACAGCCTCATGTCAGTAAAATCAAAGAGGCCCTTCTCTGTACCTCTGCTCCATCTTCATTTCTGGAGACAAACCCACTTCTGCTTTCGATGCTATCCTGCCAAGCCCTGTTCTCCTCCAGCCGCTGGAGATACCAGAGCCGAGCCTTCTCCAGAATCTCCAGACCAGACCACAGAGCGTCCTTCTCCTTCTCCAGATCCTTCAACCGTTTAATCTGAAACACAAAGAAGTAAAATGAAATGGAAAACTTTGGATTTGTGCTGAGTTATATGATAGAACCAGTTTTAGTATGTCCCTGTGTACTAGGCTAACATGTTTGACCTTCAGGTTCATGTATAGAAGCATGTAAACCAGAGGCCCCGAGGCACTGTGTACCAGGCAACACTGAGCAGCAGGTGGCCTTTAGCTCTTTAGTCTATGCCCAGCGGGGTTACAGGCTCTTTAAATAGGCTGAAACAAAGACACACAGTGAGAAACATGACATGTGGCGGTGGGGCTTCATGACTTCAGACCATTAGAGTCACTGTAATCTCAACGACAGTGAGGCCGAAAACTCTATTCTCTATTTTAGAGTTAATAGTCTAAATTTATTCTGGCTCGGCTGCTGATCGTTAGTAGATTTACTGCTAACAGAAAACTGGTTACACTGATCCTTCAACAGGAAGCTGTGAAGATCGAGCTTGACATGTGGGAATGTGTCACTGGGATGACTGTAGAGTCACGCTACCCCGAATAAAGCAAAGATAGAAATGACTGAACGCAACCTGACTCAACAAACGCACTTTATACATACAACGATGCGCATCACCTTTACGTGACAATTCAACTTGTCTGAAAAACACACAGTGAGTGAGTGTGCTGTTCAAATGGAAAACAAATTTAAAAAGCTAGAAGTATTAATGAGACATGCTCTTAATCTGAATATTGCTAACATGACCTCTTAATCCATGGCTGTCAACCTTATGTTATCAGTTTGCCACATATGATTCAGTTATGATAGTTAACCAAAAATGTACATTGTGAAAACATTCAACTCTGAGAGCCTTGAGAAAAAGAGATCAGGTTCAATATTATCTACAAGTTTGTCACATTGAGTCGGCTTACTGTTATCACAAACAAACACTACATTTAAAAAAAAGAAAAGAATGGAGAAAGCATATACACCACTGGGCTGGTTAGCTGTTAGTGAGAAAACATGCACATTTGCTCTATAGTTTTCTCTGTTTTCTTGTCTCAAACGTGTTAATGTTTAAAAGAAACAATTAGACTTGCGACTATTTCTATAGGATTGTGCCGTGACCTTAACCCCTAAAAATCCACATTTTTCCAGTTAGAAAATGTAAAATTCATGAGAAGTAAAAAACGCGGATTGCGTGATATTTTATGCTAAACATACTGACATTAGCAGAATATAGTTTCCCTACCACAAGAGAACAACTGCAAAATATCATGGCAATTCCACAGTATCAAAGATGAAAGTAGTCACCGTGACCTCAGCTGCCATATATGGAAGAAAGGGTGGAGCCCTAATTTATCAAGCTAACTCTAGCTAGCTTGGTCAGAAAGCTGCATTCACAAACTGTTTGGGTGCAGGAATACGTTAATTGAGCCAATTAATGCTGAGGCTAACAAGCCAATTATACAGGCAGGTGAGTTATTAAAAAGAGAAAACTACCCACACAGGCGCAAACCCTATTTTGTACCAGGCAGTAAATATGCTTTTTAATCTCTAAACTTCAACCTTTGAACGTATGAGTCTGTGGAGATTAACTTCATTTTGGTGCCAGCCTCAAGTGGCAGCTACAGGAACTGCAGTTTTTGCCACTTTTTCAGCTCTGGAGTTTGCCCCTTGGTAGCTAGCACCTATTAAACTTCTCTCCCATGGATAAAAATATAATGGAAGCACTGTTTAAAATATAGTTTTTGTTCTTCACTTTCTTTTTAATTATCGACTGAATGGTGACTGATATCACTGCACAGATATCAGGCTGATCTTATTTTTGATGCCTGGTGTGCTTTTCTGATGGTTGTGGTGTGTTGCAGGGTACACCATCAAGACTATAGCTAACTATATACTATTTTAATAGTCAATCAATTGTTTTGTTAATTAGGTCATTTGACATGGGTGGCAGGAGGTTGTTACTTATTATTTGGCTCATAAGCGTAAACCTTTTTTTCTTAAATGTTAATAATGCAATAATAGGATAGTTTAGAAATGCTGTCATCACATATTTTATTCAGCAGAGCAGCTCCAACATTTATCTCAGCACTGTTTGCAGCACGTGCAGCAGAGTAGCATTGCAAATGAACAGAGGGTGGTGCATCATCATTATATGAATCCAAAATGTGTCTTTTCAACTAACAAAGCCATTCCCCAATGGTGTGTCGAGGCACACTTCTGTGCTGTGTGAGGCAAGTCTAGCTGTGTGCTGGAATTCAATAACAGTCAGAACTTATTACTGCTAGACAAAAAGATATGGATGAATTGTTAATCCACTGTTTTAGTACTTTGCAAGCAGTGTTTACCTGAGGCAAATCATACAAAAAAAAAAGCTTTTTGCACAGCTGCCAAAAGTTGGATGTTATTACAGCATGACACATGAAAAACCTGACTGACAGTGAGAGTAGAGAGCCCTGAGCCTGAGCCTGTCAAGTAACTTGAGTAATACTCCACCAAGCAATATAAGGAGGCACTTAGAAACCACAAAATCCTCTTCTGCAAAACTTATCCAGCTTTAAAAATGCTGAATTTTTACCATGCCTTTTTTTTGAAAGGCATGGTATTCACCAGTTGAGTTTAACACAGAACAGAATAAATGTGATAAAACCTCAGACGGCAGCAAAAATGTGCAGATATCATGTTAGGCATATTATTAAAATTGCCTTTGTCCTACAGTGCAATCAAAGAATGAACTGAGGATATCTCGTGTGACACTGAATTAGCTTTATGCAGACATGAAGACTTAAAATTGGACGTTTTTACCTCTTTAAATTTGCCTAAAAAGTTAAAAAAGTTTTTTTTGTCTGTGAGACTACACTTGTGTTTGCTGTCTGTTCAAAGATTAATGAAAAGAATTGTTTAACAATCTCAGTTCTAATCAACAGATAAGATTTCTGACATTTATGTCCCTGCACTTTAGTTGTTTGTGTTTCTTGGCACTCGTTCCTTGTAGCTTGTAGCTTGTACCGGTTGAACTTACTAGTGAAATATGCTGCCATTTAGCCTAGATAAACTTGTCTCTTTATAAGAATACTGTAAAATAATGAGTAAATGAGTCAAAATCAACACAGAAATGATGGATGTTACATTCCAGAGAAGTGGGAAAAGTCAGGTTATTGCAGGTTGGCCAAATGTACCAAACTAGTGACACTTCCCCAGAGACAGAAGAGTCCATCAAAAGCATGTTTAGTATACAACAGTTTGATCATTCATACAACTCCTAAAAAAAACAGGGAGACAAAACAGATGATGTAAGTACAGACACACAAATACCACCTCTATCCTCACCCATAGGTAGAAGCGAAGTGCGTCCACGCTGCACAGACTGGTCTTAAGCGGGATGATAACCACAGTGTAGGAGCCAGAGCTGGAGGGACGATAGGCCATGGAGAGCTGATCAGTCACTGACAGCTACTGCTACCCCATACAGCTGGGTTGACCACAAACAACAAACCATAGCTTGCCACTGGCTGACTCAGAATAATACCGCGGGGAGAGAATGAGTGTGCATGAGTGTGAGAGAGAGAGAGAGAAGGCAGGACTGGAAAAAAAAGCAGCACGATACACAGGCGCAGGCAGCATGGTGCCCCCGGGGCGAGGTGATGAAAAATTCCACATGTCACTGACTGGTTGATCGACAACCAGTGACAAAGAGAGGGAGAACCGGGTTGGAGAGGGGGTGAGACTGGCACTGCCGGATCAAATATGAGAGAAAAGACAACAAAAGGTGAAAAAGCACCCAGCAGGAAATATGAAAATGAAGCTGCGGATGGGAGATTTGAGGGGAGGATACAGGTGTGGTTACACACTTATCAGCTCCTGATATGTTTCCATCAGTGTCATAACAGCGGGGGGGCTTGTTTATCCCAAATTTACAGCAGAAGGCCAGAGGAGGAAAACAAGGCTGTGTTTCACAAACACTGGATTTTCCAACAAGATACGAAGAAGTTGTCCCTCAGCTCAAGGAAAATCATGCTAATCTGCAGCTAGGTCCAAAGGAAGGGCACGAAATCACTTTCTTGTTAGTTTCAGGTGAGCTTTCTGTCCCAACATGTTGCCTGGAATGTGACATAACCTGAGGATGAGAGATCAAGCACAGAGGTGTGGAGCACTGAATGGAGCTGCTAAACAAACTTGACTATGGCGAGTATAGTTTGGAGTTTGAGAGCAAGTACAGGAGATAGAGACTTCAGTAGGCTCAGTTTATTGACACTAACAGCATTACTATCAGCGCTCAGCTGTTCAGTTAGTCGATGGCAACACAGAAAATCAGCAACACATGTTATTCATTAGGGCCTCAGGCTAAAGTGGCTGTTATGGATCCAACAGCAGCTCTGTTGGAGAGAATTTAGTGCAACTTGTGAGGGAAAAATATATATATAGAAAATAAAATCCGCTACTGTGCGCCCTCAGATTGGTTCTACAATTAACTTCTACAACAATGTGTTAAATATATGTTATACTAGCGTTTTGCATCAAGCACAAAACTACCATCAATGAACGGACAAAGCCAAACTTTGGAGGTACCCCTCCTGTTTTGTGTGAGGGCGTTTTGTGTTCAAAAGAGAGGTCATTCATTAGCTTGTGCAGCTACGCTATGGACAAAAGTGCTCCCTTTTAAAGTGGACACGAAACACTACATGCATAAAGGCTAATTTACATCATGGATTCCTGCACGTTATACAGCATCCAGAGGATAGTCTGTGTATTCAAACCCACCTCTGGCGCTGGTGCCCTACCCTCAATTTTAAATGCATATAGACACTGAGGGTTTTCGGGAGGAGCCGTGCTGCTCTCTGGCAGGAAGCACCATGCCCTCCTGTGTTTTAAATGCACTTCTTCACTCACCCCCGTTCTGTTAACCATCAGGGCTGGGCGGCTGGGAGGAGGTGCTGGCCGTCGGATTGGGGTCTGGGATGCGGGGCCTCCCTGCTACTGCAGATAAGGAGGCGATCTGTTTTCCTCCACCCCAGAGAGAAGGGTTACATCTCCTGGGTCTGGGTACGGTTTGCCCCTCTGGGGGCAGGGGTACCCGGACCTGGGATATAGAGTATGTTTGGGGAGTGTGAATGTGTGTACAGTGTCTATTTATGTCTGTCTCCACGTCGGGTGAGTGCTGAGTATCTGTTTGTGTATATGGGGGTGGGAATGCACGTTTGTGTCTGCGTGCACCTGTTCGTCTGTGTCTATATGTCAGCTTGGGTCTTAGAATCCACCTCTCTGGGAACATCTTAAGCTCTTCGAGGTATGGAGGCCTATCTCCCCTCACCACACTCCCTGCCAGTGGCTGATGCCCTGAGAGGTCGGTGTGTTGGTGTTTCTTGGTGTCTGGGGCTGGGTGCTCATGTATGTACCGGCTCACTCCTGGTGGCCGATTGGCGGGGCCTGGCGCCTGTGGCCCGGCTGGGCCCCTTCTGGGGGGTGGGGTGCCCTCAGGCCTCTGGCCTCTGGGCCTGAGGCCCGGTCCTCTCTGGCACAGCTGGCTGCCGGCAGAGCCCGCGGGCACGTCACTGCAACCCCCTCTGGCCTCTGCTCCGTGGCTGCTGGGTGACCTCTCGTTTGGGACTTTCCTCAGCTCTTCCCAGGAGGGTGGCAGACAACAATTCTGATGGCTAAAGATCCAAACCTCTGTAACAACAGCATGATCCGAACATTTTAGATGTTCAAAATTTAGGCAGCCGTCCTAAATTTTTAACTTCACGAAACCATGACTACAGCTGTGTCAGGGTGGCCGAGCGGTCTAAGGCGCTGCGTTCAGGTCGCAGTCTCACCTGGAGGCGTGGGTTCAAATCCCACCTCTGACAGCAAGTAGCTTGTCTGACACTGTTCAAGTAAAGATGCTGGTGTTGTGTCAGGTCTAATTCCGCGTTGGTGAGTTTTGTAATAATTGACTTGTAATAGCTGACATGTACAACAAAGCAAGTCATTAATTTCATGTCACTAATATATTTACTGAAGATATATAACTGTCATGTGCACTGTGCTAACTATTTATTAAAGGCACTATGACATACTGGTAGAATCACTTTCTTTTACACAAATCTGCAAATTTGAAATCACTGGAGCAACTTTATTGTCATTCGAGCATTATTGGTAAAATCAGGGCTGACCTTCTTTTTTTATTTACATGATCTTTATACCATTAAAATGCAAGTTAACCACTAAAGCTAATATGCTTCATTTTGTTTTCCAGCCAACAGCACAATCCAATGATTTCCAGCTAATTTTCTAATGGCATTATTTTGGCACTCCCATGGTGTAATGGTTAATGCTTTGGACTTTGAATTCACTTCAAAACACATTGAGATCTGCTTTTATGAGACCAAAGTTCTAAGCACCAACCATAATATCATATCTGAAACCTCTGTAACAGCTGCATGTATTGAGGGCTTAAGATGAAACAGGAAGCTCTGTGGAATTATCTATATCACCAAAAAGCGCTGTGGAAGATATAGATGGTTGAGCAGGTTAAGGCGTAGATTCGACTGCCACTACTGCATTCAGGTGTTTTCAATGCGGGAAACTGACTTGTTCAGATGAACAGGGTACAACTATTCTTAGTGTTACTCTGACAAAATGCATTTGAGATCTAAATTTCTCATAACACAGGTCTCTTAGTTGGGCACTGTTCAACCCTGCATAGTGACTGGTTTTGTAATGATGAACAGCATCTTCATCTGCTACATGCGAGAAACTTGCTGTCAGAAGTGGGATTTGAACCCACGTCTCCATAGGAGACTGCAACCTGAACACAGCGCCTTAAACCGCTCTGCCATCCTGACACAATAGCCCATGAGATTTGGCAAAATGATAAATACCTTTGCTGGTTCATCTTACTCTGGAAGACCTGACAAAGTCACACCTTTCACAAAGTCACACAATTCAGACAGACATTTGTAAAAAACTGAGAAAAACCTCAGAAGTTAGCCTCCGGTTTACAGTTTTCTTCAGTCTTTGTGGTCTGCCTCATGAATGTAAAATTGCTTGTGTAGCCAAACAGAATTCCTGCAGTTTGATTTCCATCAGTGTCCTGAGTTTGTCATTGTTTATGTGATTATCACAAATCCATGAATGTTTTATTGTTTATCTGACAGTGCATAAACAAAATGATCACACACACACGTCCTTCTGCTAATTAAGAAAATCTCATATCAGTAGTTATTTGCTTTGCCATTACTTCCATTATTGATGGACACTACTCTAATGTGATGACGTTAAAAGCTCTGTGAGTGAGGCTGCTTCTTGCCAGGTGTGGTGGTGTGTGCCTGTAATACAAGCTACCAGGAGACTGAGGCTAGAGGATAGTTTGAGCTCAGGACCTCTGAGCTGCAGCAGTATATCAGGTATCCTCGCTCAGCATGGATATGGTGCACCTGTGGGCCCTGGTACCACCAGGTCATCTAAGGAGGCCTGCACCGGCAGACAGAGCAGGTGAAAGTAGGATCAAGCTCATGAATAGATGCTGAAGATCAGCCTGAGCAATGCAGAAGAAGCAAGTCTTTATGCACTACTGATTCACACAATGTTTTGTGTTCTCAGTGCATGAAGCATTAAAAACCCACAATTATTCCCAGTGCTATCCATTTAGGATCTGCGTTTCCCATCAGCTTTCTTACAACTTATGTGTGAGAAATAAATCCATGTTTACAAATTTCTTAAATACTGAATGAAATATATTGTGAAATGCTTCGTCACAGGAGCAGGATTTGAACCCACGCCTCCAAGGGAGAAGGCAACCAGAACACAGAGCTTTTGCTCAGCTACTGAACACTGATTACAAAGATGCTTGAGCACGCTTTTATCTGTCAATATATCATAATATACAATTGAATTATCTCGAATGCATAACCCTAAACTGAATGGAATCTGACTTATGTATTTAAACTTGAGGTCAAATAGCCTTAGAAACAAATAGCAACTCAAACATGCACACACATGCATTCCTGATGAACTATTTCCTGCAAGACCTAAATGCAACGCCTTAGACCGTTCAGTCATCTTGACTCCAGGTGGTGTGCAATTAGTTATGATGGTAAGCCAAGACAAAAATACTACCCACTTATTCCACCTCCTCACTGAAGGCACACCTGAATAAGCACAACACATAGCCGCTGGTAATACAAAAATGCACTGAAAACAAGAGGAAAAGAAACAACCTTTGTGGTAGTTACGGGTTCAGGGTCTGCCATCACCATCTTTCTTATGAAGCTGCCAACAAGGTTGGGATGCAGGAGCTGGTGTGTCTTCAATGAAGCTGTCCCCACCCAGCAGTGCAGCTTCCAGTAAATTTGTATCATTGTAGTCTGCAACTATAACACACACAAATACACACGGGGCAGAAATATTGATGAATATAAACAAGTATAAAATGTAATATAAAAGAATAGATCACAACACAGAGAGGTGTAAGAAAATTTGCATTTACTTCTGAAGAGAACTCTGGACTCTGTATAAGGTGGCTGGAAGAAGACCTGCACAGTACAAAAATTATAAAATACTGGTGTGTGCTAGTTCTACTTCTCAGCCTCCGAGCAGACACACCTGTGGTATCGGTTTAAAAATCCTATGTTGCCTCATTTTGAAGTTATTGTATTTACAGGATTTTCAGAAAACTTGACTTCTGACGTTGAGATCACTGAGATTTGAAATTTTTAGTAGATATACTTATGATATTAATTTGAAGCTCCTACGTCACCGTGTTGTCGCGTTATCGAGAAACTTAGATGTCAATACCGATCGCCCGACCGCCCACCAGGGTGATGACGATACCCTGTCAGCCTTTAAAATTTGAGGGGTAAAAACAAACAAGCAACACAATTTAAGTCATTAAACTCATTAAAGATGTATGCTACACACCCTGAACCCCCCCACACTATCATGACATTCATGTCCGTGATGACTGCATTTGAATTTCTGACCACAAGTGTATGTCTTTGTGCAGTTTTGTTTCTTTCTTTTTGAAATACTTTGGTGAAAAGGACTGTTTGCTGTTGCGCTGCTGTATAACCTAAACAAACTTGCTGTGGGTGAGGTGTAACAGAGATAACCCCTGAGAGTGATACCATAGTAATATTTTAGCTGGAGTTCTGATGCTAATCAAACAATATCAAATTATTATTAGGATTCTAAGGTCTCACAATCTCTGATAATCGAGGACCAATATTTATAAAAAAGAAGCTCAGAAAAAAACAAAACACAACAAACCATAAAACCTCTTTTAAGCTGTTACTGTAGGCTGCTGGGAGACTGGCTATCACATTCAGTACATACTGTGTTTTGATTATTCAGTGGGTGCGGTTAAGCCTCTTTTGGCACTGTACTGACAGGGAGGTCCATCAACATGTGTTGATGGACCTCCCTGTCGGTACAGTGCCCACCCATTGGTCCCACCCACTACATTATCACAGCGCTGTACAGTAAAGAGTATCACAGAGTATCATGACCTGGGTCATAGATAACACATTGATCTGAGCCATGCCAGCTTAAATGCACTTAAGTTAGGAGTTTGGGTCAAATGCAAAGAAATGCACTGGTATTTAATTTTTGCAATACAGTAGAATAGCAGGACTTGTTCATCTTGTCATGGTCAGGTCACTCACCTGAGACTTCATACCCCTTCAATTGCTCATTAGTGCAATCACATAACAGCAACTCAATTTATTACATGACTTGAACAAACAGAATGGGGATGAAAGGTCACTTAAGTGAGTATTTCAGAAAACTGAAAATACGTTTTTGGTGTCAGAGGTCACAGGAAAACTGCCCGACTGCTTCAAACTAACAGGAAAAAAGTAACTCAAATAAGCATTCCTAACAACAGGTTATGCAGAAGAGCATCTCTGCATCTGTGTGTAGTTTTCTGTGGGCTGCAGCAATAGAAGAGCATACTCCTGTCAGGGTAAAAACAGAAAACGGGGACAAAACTGGACAACAGAAAATTAGAAAAATGCTTTCTAATATTCTCCATTCCGTTTCCCTTTTTCCCCACAGCCTACTTGAAGTGTGATATAGGTTATGAACCGTAGAGGGAGCTATAAGTCCAAACTGCCTGCTGAAGAATACAAACTGTTAAAAGCTGACATTTTGTATTATATTCTCATAAGTCTGTGCCGCAGTAACTTCAACAAAACACCAGATGGAGCAACACAATTAAGTGCCAACTGAGAGACTTCCTCAAAAGTATGTCAGCTATTTTCAACCTTTCCTCACCCCCATTTTTTTAATGGGGATGTTTTCTTTCATGAGGAACAACATCTTCAAAGTATAGCTATGAAAAACCGACTGAACCACTTTTCTTCTCCCAAACGATGCAAATTTAGACAGAAAAGAGGACCAGATAAGGACCCAGAAAAGCAATTTCAAAATATTTATATATAAATATTACATTTATTTATATTCCTTTATATAGAAAAGTTACATTACAGAGGGAGGATTGTGTGTTCCATCATAAGACCTGTGAGTCTTGCCAAAATGAAGCCTAAAGCTTCATGAGCTCATGATATCCTGAGCAATAGATGGCCTGTTTTTTTGTACACAGCATATATGGTCATAAGTAAGACAACATACGATCACAAAGGTTTCCACTGTGGGCTCCCCTGAGGAGTGAATTCACCACATTTATTACACAAACAGTGCAAATTTATTCACACAAGCTGCAACTTTTCTGCCGCTCCTGTTTCCCCCCAGTCATGGTATAATACTTCACAATATGTGCATACATGTTTGTAGGTTATTCATATTTAGTCTGAAGTTTCTAGCACACACACAGACAATTTTATACACAAACACACAAACACAACAGTAACTCACTTCCTCTTAAAGTGAATCTTTTTAGTCACTACTACTACTTTGTGGCTGAGAGTGGGCCCCTGGTTGCTTCCTGTCTTGCTCTCTCACATACACACTTTCTCGCACACATATTTGCTCCCTCGCTGTCACTCCTGTGTTTCATGAATACTTATAGAACTGTTTGCAACAAAAAAAGAAGAAGAAGAAGCAGCTAACACGGACAGGCCACGGCCCCTCTATATAGCGATGTGAAACAGTCATGAAGAGTCACTGTCAAGCGGAATGGACACATTATTCCTCGCCAAAGAAGCTGGACGCTCCCTTCGCCTCTGCAGTCCAATATCCAGTGCGGACTACTCTGGGCTCACTGTTCCAGATCATAGTTTTGTGGAATCTTAAACATATTTTCCCCCCAACCCACTTCAACACACACGCACACTTAAAACCAGTGATGAAAAAAATGACATGTCTTTGCAGTCTCTCAAGGGAGCTCATTACAGACTGGCTCCTCCTTGTCCTAAGAACCAAATATAAGCAATGGATAGGAATGGAACAAACAAGTGGTTTGAGAGGAAACTCAATCCTGAATATGATGTGTTCATGCCAAAAATAATATTGCGCGATGAGTTGCAGGAAGTGTGCTTATACATGTACAATATATTGGCTGTAATCTGACCTATTAAGGCCTCATGGATGTAGTTTAGGGATAGCGCACCTACAGCCAGCACTTTTTCTCAGACATTGAGCTTCTTTTTTTTTATCAGAGACTAGATAGTGTCATTACCTTTACTCTTGGAACTAGGTGAGTTTATCCAACATTGCTCAGGCCCACGAAACTTTAAATGAAAGTCAAGAATTAAAGCTGTCAAAGATACCAAATGTGTCAAACTACACTTTTTTTTAACAGCACATCTCAAATGTTGTTGCCCAATCGATGTACTTTACACCATAAGCCACATTCCCCCTGATTCACACACACACACACACACACACA